GGTACTTTTCAATAGTGCTGCAAGCTCTGGTGGATCACAAGGGATGTTTCACCAACATCAACGTGGGATGGCCGGGAAAGGTACATGACGCTCGCATCTTCAGGAACTCTGGTCTGTTTCAAAAGCTGCAGGAAGGGACTTTATTCCCAGACCAGAAAATAACTGTTGGGGATGTTGAAATGCCTATATGTATCCTTGGGGACCCAGCCTACCCCTTAATGCCATGGCTCATGAAGCCGTACACAGGCAGCCTGGACAGTAGTCAGGAGCTGTTCAACTACAGGCTGAGCAAGTGCAGAATGGTGGTAGAATGTGCATTTGGACATTTAAAGGCGCGCTGGCGCAGTTTACTGACTCGCTTAGACCTCAGCGAAACCAATATTCCCACTGTTATTACTGCTTGCTGTGTGCTCCACAATATCTGTGAGAGTAAGGGGGAGACGTTTATGGCGGGGTGGGAGGTTGAGGCAAATCGCCTGGCTGCTGGTTACGCGCAGCCAGACACCAGGGCGGTTAGAAGAGCACAGGAGGGCGCGGTACGCATCAGAGAAGCTTTGAAAACCAGTTTCATGACTGGCCAGGCTACGGTGTGAAAGTTCTGTTTGTTTCTCCTTGATGAAACCCCCCGGCCCCTTGGTTCACTCTACTTCCCTGTAAGCTAACCACCCGCCCCTCCTCCCTTCAATCACCGCTTGCAGAGGCAATAAAGTCATTGTTGCTTCACATTCATGCATTCTTTATTCATTCATCACACAAATAGGGGAATGACTACCAAGTTAGCCCAGAAGGGGTGGTGGAGGAGGGAAGGAAAATGCCACACAGCACTTTAAAAGTTTACAACTTTAAAATTTATTGAATGCCAGCCTTCTTTTTTTGGGGCAATCCTCTGTGGCTGGTGGCTGGTTGGCTGGCCCCCCCCACCGCGTTCTTGGGAGTCTGGGTGTGGAGGCTATGGAACTTGGGGAGGAGGGCGGTTGGTTACACAGGGGCTGTAGTGGCAGTCTGTGCTCCAGCTGCCTTTGCTGCAGCTCAACCATACACTGGAGCATACTGGTTTGGTCCTCCAGCAGCCTCAGCATTGAATCCTGCCTCCTCTCATCACGCCGCCACCACATTTGAGCTTCAGCCCTCTCTTCAGCCTGCCACTTACTCTCTTCAGCCCGCCACCTCTCCTCCCGGTCATTTTGTGCTTTCCTGCACTCTGACATTATTTGCCTCCACGCATTCGTCTGTGCTCTGTCAGTGTGGGAGGACAGCATGAGCTCGGAGAACATTTCATCTCGAGTGTGTTTTTTTTCTTTCTAATCTTCACTAGCCTCTGGGAAGGAGAAGATCCTGTGATCATTGAAACACATGCAGCTGGTGGAGAAAAAAAAAAGGGACAGCGGGATTTAAAAAGACACATTTTATAAAACAGTGGCTACACTCTTTCAGGGTAAACCTTGCTGTTAACATTACATACATAGCACATGTGCTTTCGTCACAAGGTCGCATTTTGCCTCTCCCCACCGCGTGGCTACCCCCTCAACCCTCCACCCTCCCCATGGCTAACAGCAGGGAACATTTCTGTTTAGCCACAGGCAAACAGCCCAGCAGGAACGGGCTCCTCTGAGGGTCCCCTTAAGAAAAGCACTCTATTTCAACCAGGTGACCATGAATTATATCTCACTCTCCTGAGGATAACACAGAGAGATAAAGAACGGATGTTGTTTGAACGCCAGCAAACATACACTGCAATGCTTTGTTGTACAATGATTCCCGAGTACGTGTTACTGGCCTGGAGTGGTAAAGTGTCCTACCATGAAGGACGCAATAAGGCTGCCCTCCCCAGAAACCTTTTGCAAAGGCTTTGGGAGTAAGTACATCCAGGAGAGCTGCGAATGCCAGGGCAAAGTAATCCTTTCACATGCTTGCTTTTAAACCACGTATAGTATTTTAAAAGGTACACTCACCGGAGGTCCCTTCTCCGCCTGCCGGGTCCAGGAAGCAGCCTTGGGTGGGTTCAGGGGGTACTGGCTCCAGGTCCAGGGTGAGAAACAGTTCCTGGCTGTCGGGAAAACCGGTTTCTCCGCTTGCTTGCTGTGAGTTATCTACAACCTCATCATCATCATCATCTTCTTCATCTCCAAAACCTGCTTCCGTGTTGCCTCCATCTCCATTGAAGGAGCCAAACAACACGGCTGGGGTAGTGGTGGCTGAACCCCCTAAAATGGCATGCAGCTCATCATAGAAGCGGCATGTTTGGGGCTCTGACCCGGAGCGGCCATTCGCCTCTCTGGTTTTCTGGTAGGCTTGCCTCAGCTCCTTAAGTTTCACGCGGCACTGCTTCGTGTCCCTGTTATGGCCTCTGTCCTTTATGCCCTGGGAGATTTTGACAAAGGTTTTGGCATTTCGAAAACTGGAACGGAGTTCTGATAGCATGGATTCCTCTCCCCAAACAGCGATCAGATCCCGTACCTCCCGTTCGGTCCATGCTGGAGCTCTTTTGCGATTCTGGGACTCCATCATGGTCACCTCTGCTGATGAGCTCTGCATGGTCACCTGCAGCTTGCCACTCTGGCCAAACAGGAAATGAGATTCAAAAGTTCGCGGTTCTTTTCCTGTCTACCTGGCCAGTGCATCTGAGTTGAGAATGCTGTCCAGAGCGGTCACAATGGAGCACTCTGGGATAGCTCCCGGAGGCCAATACTGTCGAATTGTGTCCACAGTACCCCAAATTCGAGCCGGCAAGGCCGATTTAAGCGCTAATCCACTTGTCAGGGGTGGAGTAAGGAAATCGATTTTAAGAGCCCTTTAAGTCAAAATAAAGGTCTTCATCGTGTGGACGGGTGCAGGTTTACATCAATTTAACGCTGCTAAATTCGACCTAAAGTCCTAGTGTAGACCAGGGCTAAGTATTCTTGATATACTGTGCAACACCAACACCTCGTCCCTTTTTTCCCTGGCTATCCTTCCTGAACAAGTTATCTTACTGTAAGCCAATGTTCCAGTTATGGGATTATCCCACCAAGTCTCAGTGATGCCAGTTAAGTCATAATTTTGTTTGTGTATTAAGAATGGTAGTTTTTTCTGTTTATTCCCCATACTCCTTGCATTTGTATAGACATCTAAGATATTGAGCAGATTGCCACAGTGTTTTCCCTTTTGTTGCTCCTTTGAACCTATTGTAATTTTCCATATATAAGAATATATATGATAATATATATACTCTTAATATAAGAAGTTAATTTGGACTGTCAACAATTCTGTTTGCCATTCAAAATGTTAGTAACTAATTGGTTGAATATGTATTTATCTCAAAGTATACACTAAATCTTAACTATCATACAGTTCACTTGTGTAACAAGTTGGTTTTAAATTATGATTAAGGTTGAGGTTGCAAAGAGAGTCTCTTTATAAGCCCTATGTTTGTGTCCTGTAACAGAAAATTGGTTTGGTTTCTTTTTCCGCCCTGCCTATCCTTCCTGTGCAAGCTATCCCCCTGCAAACCTATGCTCCAGTCATGAGATTTATTCAACCAAGTCGCAGTGATGCCAGTTAAGGCATAATATAGTTGATGTAGTAAAACTTCCAGTTCTTCCTGTTTATTCCCCATACTCTTTACACAAATGCAAGGACATCTAAAACGTTGAGCCGATCTCCCCAGTGTTTTCCCTCTTGTTGCTCCTGTGACCCTATTTTAATTTTGTGTCCCTCCCTTTCCACCACAACACCGAGCTCTCTGTTATAATTGGCTTTCTTTATACATCCCTGTAGGTTTTTGTGACCTGCCTCCTTTGAACCAAGTTGAAAGCCTTCCTCATTAAGTTGGTGACTTGGTGTACAAAGATGCTGTTCCTCTTGGTCAGGTGGACCCCATCTCTCCGCAGCAGTCCTCCTTCCCGGAACAGCATCTCATGGTCAAGGAGGCCAAAGCCTTCCCGTCAATACCTTCTGTTCAGTCATGCATTCATCTGCATTCTATCTGGGCCCTTATCCTCAGTGAGGAGACTGGATCAGAATATAGCATAGTTCCCTCAGAGTTACACTAACTTTCAGAGCAGAAGCAAAAGAAGTCAGCCTCCCACCTTGGGCAAGAGACAGGCAACAGAATTTTTTAATAACAGCGGTAGGGTCATAGTGAAGATCAGGAGCACTCTGACATTGACATCTACCGTCAGCTGCAATGACACTATCAGTATGTTTTTTTTACTGTCACAGGTGTTAGTCTGTAAAAAAAAAAAAAAGCTATTCAATTCTCCTACAGTACAAACTTTAGCCACATAAAACAAAAGAGAGGGGCCACAGTTCTCTAGATTCGGGTAGGAATTCTAAGTCCCAAACTTTAGGCCAGTCTCCTGTGATCCTGACAGATACCCTTGCCAACTTGGAAAAGAAGAACCAAACTCAGGACACAACTGATAAACACGTTTAATACTTAGGTTTCCGATAGCCATGATTTAATCAACATAAAAAATTCCTCTAAATAATAATCTGAAGAGTATGAAAGCACAAACACTTCTTAAGTGAGAAAGCTAAGAGTGGAATAGCAAAGAGGTTCACAAAAGCTACCATGAAGAGAGAAGTTTTCATGATTTGAAAAAATCCCACTGAAAAACCTGTGCTTTTTAGTGTAAGTGTAAGCATTGTCAAACACAATAGAATTGTGCAAGCATAAGACAGACAGAAAGAGAAACTGATTAGTTTCATTTCACAGGTTGAGAGAAATGCAAAAAGTGAACAAACAGCATAAAAGGTGAAGTCATTTTGATTTAAAAAAAAACTTTACTATCTGATCAGTTAATGCAAATGGAGATATTTTTAAATAGCACTTCTGTCTCGACAGTTGTATTTTAAAATTAAATTTTGATGTGGCATCCTCACTTTGTGCATTTTACTTTATGCAACAGATAATCTAAAAAAAACCCCAAACTGCCATTTTTCTGTGCTGTTGAAATCTGAGACTAGTCAGGACCATATCTCTTTAAAAAAAAGAGAGAGAGAGAGCGAGAGCTGGCAGGGGAGAGCTAAAGCCTCTGCTGCATTAAACTTGTTTGGCTACATTGAGGCTGCAGCAGTGGTCACGCATTATGCTGAAATCTGCTGATTTTACAAAAGGGGGAAGAGGGACAAGATTGTTTTGAGTCCAGATGCTGTCAAACACCAGCAACTAATGGAAGAAATGGCATAATGAACAGGCCAGTATGTGAAAGCAGTTTATGAAGAAATAGCTAAATACAGTGGTTTGTCCTGTCTGATCATCTGATGCTGTAAGTACTAGCACGATACAGGGTTGCTCAGTCACTGCAGTTGTTTGTGTGAGATGTTTTATGGGTATCATGATGCTATTAGCATTCATTGTGATAGAAACCAGAGGCTTTGGCATATTTAATAGAGTATTTAGCTGAATGGCTATTGTCTATGTTGTCTACAGAATCTCTGGGTGACTCATAAGCTGCAGTGCGCTAGCGGTGTGGATGGAACAAGGATTTGCACATTAGCTTGCCTCTCCATTTCATAGCTTTGTGTCTTTGTTGCACTGTATTGTGAGAAATGTTAGTATATTGCTGCAGTACTATGCATGTAAAGAGGCCTGTTTCTGAATTTGATCAGCAGCCCTTGAATGCTGTTTTTTTTTTTTTTGGTGCATTCTTTGTTTGACATTACCACAGCTGACATAATTTAAAAAAGAAAAAAGAAACCTAGAAATACTACTTACTCCAATGCTAGATGCTGTAGTTTGAGCAAGCTTTGCAGCAAGTAATTTTTCATATGTATATATTTGTAATGTGGTTCCAAGATACCTTTAACTTTGCCATTTATCTTTGTGAGAGTTGTTCTCTCTAAAGCGTGTCAATTATGATTTACTTAGAAAAGGAATGAGCACTTTCCTATGTTTTCCTATGTTGTGACTTAAAGTATATATATGTATTTCAAATGAAAGTACTTGTTCATGTGGAAATTCCACATCTTGTTCTTTGGCAGTTGATTTAATGCCGTGTCTTCTGTGCATGCTCTAATGATCTGATGTAGTCTTGGTAACAAATTAAAAAAATATGGCTAACACAAGTTCCCTGCCCTGTGTATATGAGCAGATTGCTCAGTAATGAAGTAAAAAATGTGTAGCTAAATTATTCATGCCAACAGAGCAAAGAACTAATGTACATTTTTATCATTATTTTGAATGTATTTTAATTTTGCTTTCATCTATCAAGCTATAGGCCTATACTTACAGTATCATCACAGTGATAAATTGTGAAACAAATAATCCCTGTATTACTAAATTCATGTACTGTCTTATGTGGTACTGTGAAGTTAATCCTATCCTGCTCCTGCTGAAATCAGTGAGGCATCTCCCATTGGCTTCAGTGGGAGCAAAAGGAAGTCTAAGTGTCCGTAGTATTCGATTGTGCAGGGCCTTACATGAGGACACAAAGGGGAACGGGCAGTGGCACAGAGGACCTTTCTTTTGTGTACCTGTGTGTGGACCTAGCACAATACCTGTTCCTGAATTTAGGGTCTAAGTTCTGCTCCCAGTCACTTCCTGCTACAGCACTAGCCACTTCAGAGGAAACAGGTAAGGCAGAGCTATGGCCCTGATCCTCCCACATGCTGGGAAGTCCAAGCTGAACTCTTTGAAAGGTTGTTGCTACAACTGCCATCTCCCTATTCTCTTTGGCAGTACAGCTCCAGGAGCCCGCCAATGGGAGCTGTGGGACAGGGTGCTGGCCACGGCTTCCTGCAGCTCCAATTGGCGGGAATGGCGAACCGCAGCCACTGGGAGCTGTGGGCAGCTGTGCCCGGGGATGGTCAATGTAAACAAACTGCCTCGCAGCCTGTCAGCGGATTACCGTGAAGGGCCGCAGGTTGCCCACCACTGATCTAGTCTGATCATATTGCAGGCCACAGAACCTTGCCCACCCACTCCTATAATAGACCCAAAACCTCTGGCTTAGTTACTGAAGTCCTCAGATCATGACTGAAAGACTTCCAGTTACAGAGAATCCACTATTTACACTAATTTAAACCTGTAAGTGACCCGTGCTCCATGCTGCAAAGGAAGACAACCCCTCCCAGAGTCTTTGCCAATCTGACCTGGAGGATAATTCTTCCCTGACCTCAAATATGACAGTCAGTTGGACCCTCAGCATTTTGGCAAGACCCAACAGCCAAATACCTGGGAAAGAATTCTCTGTAGTAACTCAGAGACCTCCCCATCTAGCATCCCATCACTGTTGGGGATATTTGCTGCTATCAGTCGCAGATTGGCAACATGTGATTGTAGGCAGTTTCATCATACTATCCCCTCCATAAACTTATCAAGCTCAGTCTTGAAACCAGTTAGGTTTTTTGTCCCCATGGCTCCCCTTGGAAGGCTGTTCCGGAACTTCATTCTTCTGATAGTTAGAAACCTTTGTCTAATTTCAAGCCTAAATTTGCTGATGGCCAGTTTATATCCACTTGTTCTTCTGTCAACATTGGTGCTTAACTTAAATATCTCCTTTTACTCCCTGGTATTTATCTCACTGATGTGTTTATGGAGAGCAACCATATCTCCCTGCAGCCTTTGTTTGGTTAGGCTAAACAAGCCAAGCTCTTTGAGTCTCCTCTCATTAGGTCAGTTTTCCATTCCTCTGATCCTCCTAGTAGTCCTTCTCTGCAGCTGTTCTAGTTTGAATTAATCAACATGAACCAAATGTTTCCTCAAAATCATAACAGCTAGAGACTTACTTTTTTGTTTTTTAATGTAAGCTGAGATTCTTGAGAACATGATAGTAGGTTCAGAGAGGAGCTGGTATGTTGGCTGGGCATGCATCAGCTGTTTCTGATCCCTGTGCTATATAATCATTCAGTGAAAGAAATCAGTAACCGTGCGGAAATCCACAGATAAATATTGGCTGAAAAATGGTAGTACTCTGCTACTGGGGGGGGGGAGGTCTGGATAAGGGGCAGGGGATCCTGGGGGGGCAGTCATGGGACAGGGAGCAGGGAGCAGTTGGATGGAGTGGAGGTTCTGTGTGGGGGGGTGGACAGGGGATAGGGAGCAGTTGGATAGGTGTGGGAGTCCCAGGGGGCCTGTCAGGGGTCGGGGGTGTGAATAGGGGTGGGAGCAGTTAGGGGACGGGGAACGGGGTGTTCGATAGGCAGGGAGTACCAGGGGACCTGTCAGGGGGCGGGGGTGTGGGTCGTAGCAGTCTGGGGACAGGGAACAGGGGTGTTGGATAGGGGGTGAGGTCCTGGGGGTGCGGTTTGGGGCGTGGGGTCCTGGTGGGTGGTGGTCAGGGGACAAGGAGCAGGGGGGTTGGATGGATCAGGGGTTCTGAGGGGGACAGTCAGGGGGCAGGAAGTGGGAGGGGGCAGATTGGGGGGTGGGGGCCAGGCTGTTTGGGGAGACACAGCCTTCCCTACCTGGCTCTCTATACAGTTTCACACCCCGATATGGCCCTCAGCCCAGAAAGTTTGCCCACTCCTGACATAACTCCTCACTGGAGGAGCGCCACAAGGTGCTCCCAACTCTTCAGGGTGAATCAGAATAGCACTCTGCCCAACCATGAATAAGTAAGAATGCCATTCTGACTTTATTACCCTCCTGAGCGTCAGCCACACAGACTTTAGAGTGAAAGAAAACTTTTGCCTACATTTAGTAAGAGCAAATGTTGTCCCAATCCTGTGTCATCTAGTGTCTAAGCCCAACTGGGGTTGACATTCAGCTGATCTAATATGTCACATTATGCCTAAATATTGGAGGACATCAAGTATTTTTCACCTGATTTTAGCTGTGCTTGTTATCTCATAATTTAAACATTTCTCTATGAATCGGTATCAGTCATCTGATGTTTTATACAACGTACATACATAGATTTCATAAAAACAAGGTAAGTGCATTGGAAGCCCCATCACTTGGGGCATCTACGGTTACTTTGGATAGTATGCTTTAGGGAACAGTCCTCTATTGCATAGGAAAATTGCATACCTTATCTAATGGGACTTTTTTATCTCTTACTTCTGTGTTACTATGAAGACTAAACAATTTCTGTTGGTTTTCCATTGGTCATTACAAAGATGATGCCAGACATATTGCCCATTTTTTATGTGTGAAATACGATACGCACAATAACCCGTTTTTCAAATGCGTTAGTATAGTAAGTGGAGGGCACCGGGGCTATTTTGTGTGAGCATAATGGAACAAACAGAATTGCACAGAGCCTTTTGTAACGGACTGATTCCCAGGGGATACCCTCTGTCTTCCCCCTCCCCATTCCCACCTCCCACATGCCCTTCACGATTTGGGAGCGTATTATTTTGAATAGCAGCAGTAACAAGAGCATTTGGAAAGCTTGTGAATGGAATATTGAGAATACAGCAATAGAAGGTCCTATATATTTTGGTAATTCTGAAATCTGTAAAACTTAAAAAGATACACAGAATATCTTTACCGTTTTTCTGTGTTTTTCCTCACCATCCATCATAATTAACTATCTGGAAACTCGAAACTGAAGTTACTTTCCTTACTAATTTCTCATTTATGTTTAAAATATTTCCCTCCCTTTGCAGCACTGTAGTTACAACTTCTCATTAATAATATTTTCTACTTATAAATCACTTATCAAAGGATCTCAAAGCACTTCACAGACACTAATGAATTAAGCCTTATAATAATCTATCAGTTAATGTAATTGTTATTAACAGGTAATATTATTGCCTCTGTCTCACAGGCAGAGTGATCCTTGCCCAACGATTCAACCATATTTCTTCCAGTGCTAGGCTGTTGTCATTTTTTTTCATTAGAATAGAAGCACTGAAATATTTGTTTGGAAAAAAAATATAGAATTACAGACATGTTACAAGACAGTATAAGAATTAAAAAAAGAGGTCAAATTGTGGGCATACCAATCTTGGCGGAGTCTTTTTAAGAATTTTTCTTATGCCACATGGAACACAGTTATTATCATTAACATCATCTGTTACATATGCTGGATTTCATGTACATCATATTTATTTATAGCATAGACCAAAGAACCGAATATTCTCATCTTTGAAAAGTTTCTTTCTTTTAACTGTGCATGTTGTGTGCAGCGAAGTCTCTATATTAACCTCCTTGCTTTAACAATGTTCTGCATTTCCAGAGCTAAATTTTCAGCATGCTGCATATCTCAATTTAGACACAAGACTCCCACATATAGAAGAGAGATTCATATAGTTAAATTCCCTAGCTAAAAGCATACTACCCATGGAATGTAAAATGCCCTACCATTCTTCTGCAATTGTG